ACTGGGACCCCAAACTGGGACCCCAAACTGGGACCCCAAACTGAGACTGGGACCCTAAACTGGGACCCCAAACTGGGACCCCAAACTGAGACTGGGACCCCAAACTGGGACCCCAAACTGGAACTGGGACTGGGACCCCAAACTGGGACTGGGTTCCCAAACTGGGCCTGGGACCCCAAACTGGAACTGAGTCCCCAAACTGGAACTGGGTCCCCGAATGGAGGGGGAAGGGGGAAGGGGGAAGGGAATCCCACGGGGTTTGGGGTCCCAGGGACTCACCCCCCGTTTGCTCCGGGGGGAGGGACCCTCCTGCAGGACACGGGGCCGGAGGGGCTCCCGCGCTCCGGGACGGGCTCCAAGCTCCGGCTTTTGGGGCTCCCGGGTTTTGGGGCTCCGGCTCTCGGGGTTTCAGAGTTCCCGGGTTTCAGAATTCCCAGGTTTCAGAGTTCCCAGGTTTCAGGGTTCCCAGGTTTCAGGGTTCCCAGGTTTCAGGATTCCCAGGTTTCTGGGTTCTGGCTTTCTGGGATTCCAGGCTCTGGCTCTCCAGGTTTCTCAGTTCCCAGGTTTCAGGATTCCTAGGATTCAGAGTTCCCAGGTTTCAGAATTCCCGGGTTTCAGGGTTCCTAGGATTCAGAGTTCCCAGGATTCAGAGTTCCCAGGTTTCAGGATTCCCAGGTTTCAGGGTTCCCAGGTTTCAGGATTCCCAGGTTTCTGGGTTCTGGCTTTCTGGGATTCCAGGCTCCGGCTCTCCGGGTTTCTCAGTTCCCAGGTTTCAGGGTTCCCAGGTTTCAGGGTTCCTAGGATTCAGAGTTCCCAGGTTTCAGGGTTCCCAGGTTTCAGAATTCCCGGGTTTCAGGGTTCCTAGGATTCAGAGTTCCCAGGATTCAGAGTTCCCAGGATTCAGAGTTCCCAGGTTTCAGGGCTTTGGATCTCCAGGATTCCAGGCTCTGGCTCTCCAGGTTTCAGCGTTCCCAGGTTTCAGGGTTGCCGGGTTTCAGGATTCCCAGGTTTCAGGTTCCCAGCTTTCAGAGTTCCCAGGTTTCAGAGTTCCTGGGTTTCAGGATTCCCAGGTTTCAGAGTTCCCAGGTTTCAGGGTTCCCAGGTTTCAGGATTCCTAGGTTTCTGGGTTCTGGTTTTCTGGGACTCCAGGCTCTGGCTCTCCAGGTTTCTCAGTTCCCAGGTTTCAGGGTTCCTAGGATTCAGAGTTCCCAGGTTTCAGAATTCCCGGGTTTCAGAATTCCTGGGTTTCAGGGTTCCCGGGTTTCAGGATTCCCAGGTTTCAGGGTTCCCGGGTTTCAGGGTTCCTAGGATTCAGAGTTCCCAGGATTCAAAGTTCCCAGGTTTCAGGATTCCCAGGTTTCAGAATTCCTAGGTTTCAGGATTCCCAGGTTTCAGGATTCCCAGGTTTCTGGGTTCTGGCTTTCTGGGATTCCAGGCTCTGGCTCTCCGGGTTTCTCAGTTCCCAGGTTTCAGGGTTCCCAGGTTTCAGGATTCCCAGGTTTCTGGGTTCTCAGGTTTCAGGATTCCCAGGTTTCAGGGTTCCCAGGTTTCAGGAT